GCAAACATCGATACAGAGAGCTATCATACAAAACCACAAACTTTCACGGACCAAAAATTAGACCCTAATCTCCCTTTATGTTCCAGGGTGTATACGGAATTCCAGAGTACCACGCTACCAAAGAAAGAGTGGATGTAAACTTTTATTCCTTATTTATGACTGATATGATTTTATAGTGATTAAGATTATGTTGACTGCTGTACCCAAATTGTTAACATTCTCATCTATTATGTCTGTTTGTTTTGTTCACACATTGTTGTTAATATAATGGAATTTTATGCGACTGTCATACAAGATGAGCTAGCTATAAAACCAGATTTAATTGACCATTTTCTACATAAGGAAATGTCTGTACCAAGTTTCAGGCGTACACAATTACTAGCCTTGTATCTTTGATGAGTCTTTTCTACCTAAACTACTAAAGAACCGTCAAATATCGTTTTATCTCAGCCTATAGTAAGGGTTCTTTTACTTATCTGTCAGTGCTTTTAACTAGTTTTCTAAGGGAAAATAAAGAACGTATATTTACGATTTCCAGAAAAGCGCTTCGGACGCATGGAATTTATAACGTGTTGTTTTCATTTCTGAAGCATATAAAAATAATTGAATTAAACACTCTCGATGTATTTAGATAAATTACTTGCTTTTGGTTATCGTTTCAGTTAGTGACTAAAATGCACTGCAAGTTTCCTACCCATTTCGATAATGCATGTAGTTACCTAACCCTAATGCTGTGAAATCAAACTGTCACTCCTACATATCGGAGGTAGAGGATTTCTCCTTCGTTTCGTCCAGGGGAATTCATAAGTACTAGGGATCTCAACTCAGTGAACAATTACTAATCGAGTACTCGTTTGTTTTATCGAGCTATACACGTACACTCGCTCGGGAATATATCTACAACACGGAAACACAAAAATACGTATTTTACATGCTATGGTTTGTTGTTCAACGGACGAATACCATCTACATAAGTATCTTGGAGAAAGAATTTCACCATAGTAAATGCACATTACCTAAAATTAATTAATTAATTAAGTGAAAAGTAAAAATCTAATCAATATAATTTAATGAACACCTATTACAAATTACAACAATGGCAAATCATATCAAACAATAGTATTTGGTAATCGTTAAGAAAACACATATAATGTTTACAAAGGCGTAAGGATTAAACGTTTAACTATTCACTGAGGGTCACCATAAGATGCAACGGATTTATTTTATTTGGAAACATTTTTCTTGTCAACTATTATTGGGGACAGTCGGTTTTGAAACTTTGTAAACTATAGTCTTGCAAACGAAAATATTAGTTGTAACGGTACCGATGCACATGATTAGTTTAAAGTGTTAGCCTTGGTAAAGCCCGCGTATTTTCGGAGGCGTTTAAAATGACAATTTAGCACAAGCAATAGAAACAAAATGTATTTTATTTACTAGTATTATTAATCAGTGATGCCTATTTAATTTTCTGATGGATTCTCAAGAAGATCAATTTTATTTAAAGAAGACAGCAATATTCTAACAGGAAATCGATCAATCGAATACTCGAGTACTCGTTGACATCCCTAATAAGTACCGTTACAAATTTTAAATTCAAAAAAATTCTTCTCCAATCCCTCAAACGCGGAACTGGAAAAGTAAAATTGGACCGTTTAATGTTATTTATACATATTCTAACGTTTTTTGTTACTTAATTTTGTGCATGCAGTGTCTCCATGTCTTTACGAATAAAAAGGAATTTTGGGACAAGTTGCAAATCATTTGCAGGCGTTTGATATCAGTACTCATAATACAAATTGATTGTTTTTTTTTCTTCATAAAATGGGATAAATATTAGAGTACAGGTACTAAACATTTGTTGTATTGACTAAAAGTTCTAAAATATCTATTTTTTATGATGATCTACAGTCATCAGAAAACAATATTATTGGAACGAAGGATTTATTATTTTTCATGAACTGTGATTGATGAAAGAGAACAGTTGCTCAACTCTTTATCAGTGCGAATATTTCATCTTTTATTTGAACTTGTATACCATTTTTAGAAATCATCGAAGTTGATACCCTAGAATTGATTGTGAATATAATAATAGTTCGGATACTTACAGTTTTATTTACATTGATAATTAATGTAAATCTTCTTTGTATTGCAAATATAAAAAGTCAACAGTTATTGCATCCTTAAAATGATTAGTTTAACAGTTAATTTGAGCAATAATTTTGTACAGTTAATGAATGTTTTCGGCATTTAAAAAGAATTGAAAGTGTTGACGTGTCAATACATTTTATAAATTGCTGGAAATCATTAGATTTTATTCCTAAGGACTGAAAGTTTCAAAGCAACTATGAGATTATACCGTGCACTCATAATAAAAATAGATTCGTAAGTAGTGTATGAAAAAACATATATTTGTGTTTGAGTGTATAAAGTTATAGGGGGCAGATTTTGGTTGAAATGGGGAAAAAAATATTGTAAGATTTGTCTTTAACTTTTTTGGTAGTGAAAAGAATATCCTATTGACAAGTAAACACAGCTCTTTTACCCGCCCAATTATTTTCATGGTCATTGTTAAAATACACGTTAATTTGTTTTCGGTTGCCACATTTCTAAAGTTGAAAATTCCTCTATAATTCGGCAAAACTTACATCTATCTTCTATTCAGACAACTTTTGTGTTTCTGAAATGCAGATTTAACTGAGTGTGCTTGGCATAATTGAAAGTGATACATCATTCGATCATTTTTGCAATATTCTCCAACATATTTCCCTGAAGAACCAAGTTTAAATGATCGAAACTAAACCATTAATCCGTTAAGTATGAAATATACACCGTTGACATGATAGATTTGAATCCGCCAAGACGTATTGATCCGTCCGACCACTCCAATCAATTACCAGCATGACGGTTTGATGACGTGAACTTGACTTGTTAATCTGTAACGGGTTAATTTCCGCTGTTGGTCGTAAAGATAGTAATTACTGCTTCTTTTGAAGAAATGATTGCCAATCAGAACACTGTAACTTGACCTTAACGACCAAGCTATAAGCTGCTACTTTAAACCACAAGGCTCACATGTTATGTATAAGCTACCTTCATTGCAGAATAGAATTTACGAAACATTTTTTGAATATACCTTCATAAAAAAAAACAGGCGATAGAAACAAAACGTATAAGCTACAAAGAGACCAAAAAAGTATGGCAAAAATACGAACGAACAAACAACCGTTTCCAAATACTACATAGGCACATGAAACTGTTAAAAAAAACGTGTATTTTATCAGGTGCTCCGATAAGGTCGGCAGATTCTGATCCATTTGAGGTTACCGCCGTGTTATCATAAGGAGTGGACATTCGATGTTAATTTTGATTCGATGATTCGAAGTTGAGGAAAAGATGACGAGTTAATGGCTACAACAATTGGAACAAAACAATGGTCAAATAGTTTATGATGACGCACGTTAAACTTTTAAAGGGACAATTTTTATTTTACCAAGAGGAACCATTGGTTCAATGACTTCATTGAAAACAGCAACCCTCTGTCAAGGAATCATGCAAAATAGGACTCGCAAATGATAAAATGTTGTTCTTTCCGACCTTCATGTCAATTTCTAGGTCAGACCTACATAACAATATCTCTGGTTTCCTTTCTTTTTTCATGGTCGATGGGATAAATGGGTTTAACATAGTCATTAGTTTGAATTTCACTCCAAAGATATCTTTATAGCTCGTTTGGAACGCGAAGTTAAAGGATAGTTCTAGCTTCTTTTTATTCTTATTCAGAAGACCCTAAAATGAATAAAGTCGACAAAAAGAGGAGGACAGTTGGTTCTACAACCAATAAGTTGTCAATAAAACATCATTCATCTTGATGATGTCAGTTTTTGAGAATGTTTTGTCTAGATCAGAGTGTTTATTTATTGTTTGTCTATTTGTCGTTTGTTTTGGGTTTTTTTTCGAACAATATTATGTTGTTTCTAAGGACGCTTAATTATTTTGGTATCCACTTGATTGAAGAAAGATCTATTGATTCATCTTTGTTAAATTCCATAAGGAAAATAGAACAGACATATTATTGTTCAGGATTTTCTCTAAGTAAATTTGTCTTGAAGTAAAGTATATATTGAGTTTACAAGTGAATTGTCAATTCCAACTTCCTTTAACAAGAAGTATATGCCAAGTGATTTGTTTTTGGTGGGGTTCGTGTTGCTTAGTCTTTAGTTTTCTATGTTGTGTCATCTGTACTATTATTTGTCTGTTTGTCTTTTTATTTTTGGCCATGGCGTTGTCAGTTTGTTTTCGATCTATGAGTTTGACACTGTCCCTCTGGTATCTTTCGTCCCTCCTTTAGTAACACATTCGATGTTTTTGGAGGTTTTTTTCGGGGACAACAATATACTTGTCATGGCGGTAAGACAAATGTTTAGCAACATTTTGGCCCTTGAGGATAGATATAGCATGAGTCATCGTAGTTCCATTAAGGTTAAGATCATAATTTGTATCCTCGACTTCACAGTCTTAACTCACTTGATAAATGTATCAAAGTCTTTTTTCGCGTTTAACCATTAGCGGGCAGGAATCCAGCAAGACTGTATTTTTAAAAACTGTCGTAATGATAAGATAAAACACATAATTTCTTCATTTAGCTGAAAAGTCTTTCACATGAATTGCATTTCTCTCGCAAAATTTGCATACTTCATTTGAGATCTAGACCGACTGTTTTCTGCTTTTTTACAATCAAAGATAAGAAATACACCCGATTGATCCAAATACATAAACACTAAATTATTTATTTTTATATAACTGATGTAATTGAAACGCTACATATGAGTCGTATGTAGCTTTTGCATTACAAATTATAAGACATATGAATTTATAAATAGTTGTTTTCATTTCTTAAAGTAACATATTTTTAACCTCAAAGCAGCCCGATAGAGGGTATCAACCAATTCATGAGGTAAAATCAGTTTTTATCAACAAGTCTTAAACAAAGTACTACAGAAAACTAAAAATATTTTAATCATATTCTGGTCTTTCTGAATATATTATCTGTGTGATTGATGATCCCAATTTCCTTCATAGCAAGATCAACGTGATAATACAATATTGGCATTATCTTAAACATTTTAAAATCCAAGGTTTTAGTGTATCTTAAACAGAATTTCCACTGAGGACTAGACGGACATTTCCTGTAATGGTGAAGGACGACACTGTGTGATGTAAGTACAATCCTGTGAAAAAAAATACCATGATTATAAAGCATCGTAAAATCAAAAAACAAAAATTATTCACACATCACCGAAATGATCAGCAATATATATAACAATAACATATAAAAGTAAGAAAAGATAATATTGAATAAAAAAGTACAACAATAAATATAAATTCGGATAGCAATTGTCTGTATAAGTAGCATTGTAACTAACCGTAAGTATTACTTCACTGATACTGTAAATGAAATGTTTTACTCAAATATTAATTGATGAATTAAATAATGTGGCGTTAAGGTCGCTAACGAGTAGTTACCTTCAAATACATATCTGCATATTCTAAAGAAGGACTTTTATTACGCCTTAAGGTATAGAACCACTAATTCAGGCCCGGTCGGAAAGAACATACAAGAAAGTAGTACATATTTTAAACAAAATAGTTCATACGTATAGCTGAATCTTTGTCAATAGGGGGTATATTTGGGTAGTTTTGGTATCAAATGAAAGCTTGTGGACTTGGAATCACTGTAGAACCGTTGTTGAAAGATTTATTTGAATAATAAAGAAGTATATGAAATTTTGATAGGAGGACACATTTGGCCTGTTGTTTAGATCAGAAGTTCCTGTTTTTGTACTATCAAACTTGCGGGAACCAGTACGCTCTAATATGCAATTTAAGGTATGTTGATTTTTTCAGCACATTTCAGGATAAGGTACATTTTTGACATGAAATAACTGCCACTTTATTTGAACTTAAGACAAAGTAGCCATTAATGCTTGAAATTGCAGAATTAAACATAGAAAGCAATGGGGCTATGAATTAGTGGTTTTATATTTAAGAATTTCTAACATTTAGTCCCTGGATTAAACTTGTATATATGCTATCAACTGTAGTCAAGACATGGCGGCTTTTCCTTGTCATTTTTAACGCTCGACATAAAATTGAGAATGGAATGCTTCAAAGAGAAAACAACCCGACAAAAGAGCAGAAAACAGCCAAAGTCCACCAGTGTCCTATGGGTCTACAACACAGCAAGAAAATCCCGTACCCGGAGGCGAGCTCTAGCTGGCCCCTATACAAACATGTGTACTAGTTTAGCGAAAATTGACGTCACACTAAACTCCGAAACATATAAATGAACCAAAATTTAAAAAATATACAAGACTAACAAAGGCCAGAGGCTCCTGACGTGGGACAGGCCCAAAAATGCGGCGGAGTTAAGCATGTTTTGTGAGATCTCAACCCTCCCCATATACCTCTAGCCAATGTAGAATAGACAAACACACAGCAATACGTACAGTAAAAGTCCGATGTAAGAATAGGTAACAGAAGAAACTAAGCAAAATGACAATGATACATAAATTAACAAAGGACTACTGGCAGTTACTGACATGTCAGCTCCAGACCTCAATTAAACTGATTAAAATATTATGTCTTCATCCCGTTAGGTGTTTAGCATCATACCATCATAAAATATACGAGAAGAACATAACCCGTATCATGCTAACTACTGATTTTAGAATAAATGTGTATATTTCCGATGCAAAGACCCTATGAGTGAATCAATATTAATGCAAAAATAAGCCATTTTTAATGACCTGACAATAGTATCGTAACTATATCCCTTATGAATAAGTCTGTTTAAGGTTATATTATTTTTTGAGGTGAATGACGACATTTTTGTGCTTTGTATAGAATATTACCATAAAAGATTGGATGTGAAATACCTGAACGTTTAAGATGTCTGCACGTTTATCTATATTTACGAATGATGTCCTTGTACTGATTTCGTTAAAATCAAATACGTTGTTACATACACGAGCGAAGTTGAGATATATAAATACCATAAGATGGTGACAAGGGAACGTCACTATCTAAAGATGGATAATTAACAATAGGAAATGAAAAATCATCTCTTTGATCATAAATTTAGGTATCAAGCTCCCGAAAGATATAGATGTCAAGATTAACGAAAGGGCAGTGCTCATTGATAGTATTATCTTTATTTAAAGTCAGTTCAGCAAAATTAATCTCTTCAGTGTACATACTGAAGTCGTCATTATTGAGAGCCAATATTTCACCCAACTATCTAAAAGTGTTTTTAAATATTTGTATCAGATGTTGTTTGGTGAGTCTTGGCTGATTTTAGTCAAACATTGTAACTCGTAACAATACAAAAAGAGGTCCGCAATATGAGGTGCACAGTTAGTCCCCATTGTAATTCCAATAAGATGACGATATACGGAATCTCAATAGCGAAAAAAATGGTATCTAGTAAAAATTCAAGTGCAGTTATCGTATCAAATCCGGTCCAGTTGACATAGTTCTTTTGTTTGTTGTAAAAAAGTTTGAACATATTTATTTGCATTCTGACTTTTTAAATGCCCATTAAATTAGGTGTGTGATTTTTTTCTTAATGAGGTTATGAGGAAAGTGGTATATAGGGCAGAAAAAGAAAAAGTTTGAACAGATTCGAAATCACCAATATGAGCATGTAATTTATCAAGTACTTCAAACGAATTTTTGACACTCCAAAAAAAAATTAATTCCACTATTTTCAATGGCCTTATTTGAACAATTTATTACCTTTTTTTTTATTGTACCAAGTGTACTAGTAAGTAGAATAGACAGTTTAGTAGTGGAAAATATGATTTGGACATCATCTGTAAATCTATATGTCATGTCTAAGTTGATTTATTTTACTTTTTTCAAATATTAATACTTCAATTTTTTTTACAAGAATAGTTTGTGATATAATTCTGAATTAATTGATTAGTAAGTTTGCATAAGGATTGATAGCTGGTATGTATAGTGTTATTTCATTGTTTAAGAAATAACACTATACATATGCTAAAGATAAGATATGTAAGTCAATCAAAACGCTGTCTTTATTAATTTTAGGTCTAAATATTTACAAATTACATGAAAGATACAAAGAGTGAGGCTTGCTTTTATCTAAATTTTCATCGCAATGTGTTCAATACTTGCAGTCTGTGTACGATTTTTATATAGATAATATGAAATAATTACCACTGTTTGAATAATGTAGGAAACATACATTCATCTGTTACTGGAGGTTCAAACACTTATAATTCTTTTTTATTGAGTACAAATGGTATAGTATTAGCTCATTCTTAAAAACCTTACTAAGGCCTATAGTAACTTGAATCTATGCCTTTTGGACCGATGTGGATAGTTGTCCTGGAATCAATCATACTCATCTCCTACTATTTATATCAATAACAAAATAGTATACCGTTTCAGCTAAAGTGACCAAACGCTAGTAATTTTAAGTGTAACACATATAATAGATTGAAACATTCTGTCGATACATATATATTTTGGCATTGCACAATGTTTTCTATGACTGTTTATGACGTCCTCACCTAAAATCTATTGGATTTTTACTGATTTGTACTGATTGATATTTAAGTCTTGAATACACAATTCTTTAAATAGTTTTTATTGGCTTTGAACTAGCCTTAGTAGCTGCGATTACTCTCAAATCGTTACTCTGTGTCTTTTTGGGGGCGTTTATTTTGAATGCTGTTTGTCGATCTGATAAGTCAAGCCGATTTCATCTGATTTTGAAGTTTGTTTTCATGTTGTGCACTTCGAGATTAGTTAGAGAGGGTTTGGTAATCGCAAACAAGTGTAACCCCCACCATATTATATATTCGACTGTCTAAAGTCAGGAGCCTGTCATTCAGTGGATGTTGTTAGTTGGTGTATATCATAGCATAAAACATATTTGTTTTATGTTTTATTGATTAACACATAAATCATGCAGTTAGTTTTCCTAGTTTGAATTGTTTAACATTTGTCAAGTCGTGGAATTTTATAGCTCGTTATGGGTTTTGCTCATTGTTAAATGTCGCATCGTTACCGATAGTTGTAACTTCTACGTCATTTAGATATAAAAATAAAATGCTTCTTACATGCATTATCAGAAAATTCATATGACGATAAATGTTAATAACAAAATACTGTATAAAAGACATCCAGGTATTATGACACATTTTTTACAATATATCCATCATTGCAATATATGAATTAAACAATCCGAAGCTGCTCTTTATATTTTGTTCGTTTGGAGCTCGTTTTTTATTTACCTTTACATTACCGTTCAAATCCTCTTAAATAAAATTCAAGGACATCTACATACTTGATCTATATCGTGCAATGAAACAATGTATAACACAACGGATGACCCATGTCAAACGGCTCTGCTTACCGTTCCGGAGCACCTGAGAACAACCCCGGTTTTTGGTGTGGTTTCATGTTGCTCAGTCTTTAGTTTCTATGTTGTGTTTGTATTTTTTTGTTGTTTGTTCTTTTTCGTTTCGTAGTCAGTTTATTTTCGACTTATGAGTTTGAAGGCCCCTTTGACATCTTTCGCCGTTCTAGTAAAGAAACGTTTGAAAACGTATATTTATGAAAACCGCAACAAAACCACGAAACTAGAAAAACAGAAAATGTTAGGTATGAAAATAAGAAGATTTGGTATGATTGCCAATGAGACAATTCTCCACAAGAAACCACATGACATAGAAATTAACAACCATAAAACACCTTACGGCCTTCAACAATGAGCAAAACCCATACCACATAGTAAGTTATAAAAGGCCCCGAAATACCAAATGTAAAACAATTCAAACGAGAACCCTAAAGGCCTGATTTATAGAATTTTTTTTTTCTTATTTAAAACGCAGTACGTTTTTGTACAAAAATGTCCTTTTTAGTAATATACTGGGTTCATTATGGCGGAAATTTGCCATCCAAACTGCAACATTTTGTTTCTAAATTAAGATGTTTGGAAGTTGCAAAGGTGAAAAACTAAAAATTACGACATTTGAATACTAGTGGATAGTCGTCTCGTTGCCAAACATACTACATCTCTTTATTTTTATACCACATAATTTTTTTTTCTCATCAAAATATTGTACTGGAAAGATGATAATGGTTTGTTTTTGGAAAACGATATAATATTTGAAAATACAGTTACTTTGATTTATATCACAATTGATTGAGAACAATGATCTAACAATTTTGATTAAAATGTTGCACCTGTATCAGAAACAAAATTTGATATTCTCGGAATAATAAGAAAAGTTTGTAAAGCAAACTACTGGTAATTTTTAATAACATGAATTAAACGGTATTCACATGGCATGCAAAATGAGTAGTTTTTGTTGCCTCAGTATGTTTTATTTTCGAAACCGAAAATTGTCAAACAATTACATTGATGGTTAAATTGACATCAAAGAACATTATATAGAATCAAACTCCAAGATAGTATGTTTTTCATATATATAAATATATAACACAAATGAACTCTATTTTATCAATACTGTGAAGGTTGCGCTGAGCTGTACTTTATTTATTAAAAATTGGACTGAGCTGTTACTTGAAGAATAATTGCTGTTTTTGTCATACCCTTTCGATATTTTGGGTTCACAATATTCAACATTTTTACTTATTTGGCCTTTTTACATTTTTTTTTTATTCCAGCGTCACTGATAAGTCTTTTATAGACAAAATGCGCGTCTGGCGTACAAAACTTTAAGCCTGGTGTCTATGAGAGTTTATTTATAGCAAATGTTTGGGAAGAGACATTATTTGTCGAAATGCGCATTTGCTGCTATAAAATTGGTACCGTTTATGTTGTACTGTAGATTCATTTATTTTCGTGGGTACCAATTTTCGTGGATTAAGGAAAACTTACATGTTCGTGGATATTTAATTTCGTGGTTTTGCCGAAGTCTGCATATAAGCCTATAGAAAATTTATTATTCGTTGAACATTTAATTTCGTGGTTCACCTGTACCCACGAAATCCACGAAAATTGGTATCCAACGAATAATAATGAATCCACAGTAACTTGATTAAAATTTGACTCTTTTAATTTAAATTTGAGTAAGGAATGCGAAATTATTAGTTCCAGTGCCTGTACATGCATGAAATGGTTATTTTAAAAAAATGATAAAGTGTTATAAACATTCATTAAATTTAGTTTGTAAATAAAACACATTAAGAAAGGCATAAAGAACATACGTGTTAAAGAATAATAAATGATCATATATACCTCTTGTATCCCTTCTTTGGGTGTATCGTGTGTGTATCTAATGTTTTGGTCCTTTTAGGAAGATATATGTTTTTGTAACGTTCATATCGTGGATAAGTGCGTCGGATATACTTCGTAGTTAACATATTCCCAGTTCCAGAAACTCCCCAGTCTGTTAGAAAGAAGGATACATTAAGAACAAACCCTGCAGCATCCGGGTGCGATGGTAACAATTCTGACTACAAGTATATAAATATATATAAATAGAATTCAAATTTGAGTTGGTATCTTAATATAAACCATATACAGAAAAGTATTTATCATATAGCTTTCGTGACAAGCAAGTGAAACTTCCTGTTTTAAGGATTGAATCTGGTGTAGTGGTTATAACCTTTGTCTTTACATGCTAGGTGCATGGTCATCGAAAGATATATCGTTGTAAGTTCGTCTCTCGAGAGATGACTTAAAAATCAAATCTGTGTTTACACACAATCTTTAGGGTGGAAACGTTTTTCTCAGTATTTCCATTAGAATAAAGAAAAAACATGAAATGCGTTAAAATGTATTTCTTTAAATCCGATATCACAATAATAATTAAAAAGCACAACAAAATCTTCATCATTTCTATCGTCTCAACCTGCATGTCTTCACATCTATTGTATGACAACAGCAGAAAACCGGAAGGAGGATAAATATCTAAAATTGTCAAATATCTATATGTCCAAATAGATAATAAAACCATTCACTTCAGCTTGTTTTATTGATTTCTACGCAAATAAAATAAAACAAAACAAGATAATACATAACAAACATGGGCGCAGGCCGTTTGCTCTTTTTTACTTGTTACACTAAAGGACATTTGCGCTGCAAACATTATGGGCAATCTCGCATTAAACTTTTGTGTGAAAGTTTATATGTAATCTGAACCAAATATACCAAAGTCAAGGGAAGATGTTCACGTATTATTTTGAAAGTTTTCCCGTACAGACCACAAAATTAGAATTAATATTCAAGTAAAAAGTAAAATAACAAAAAGTACCGAATTCCGAGGAAAATTCAAAACAGAAAGTCCCTAATCAAATGGCAAAATCAAAAGCTCAAACACATCAAACGATGGATAACAAAAAATGGTAGAAAAGACTCATCAAAGATACAAGGTTATAATCTTATACGCCAGACGCATGTTTCGTCTACAAAAGAATCATACGGGACACTCGAATAAAACAAAACAGGTAAAAGGTTAAATGAAGTACGAAGTTGAACAGCATCGAGGACCCAAAATCCCGAAAGGTTTTGTCAAATACAGCTAAGGTTAAAAGTAAAATAACTAAAATACCGAACTCCAAAGAAAATTCCAATCGGAAAGTCCTTTATCAAATGGCAAAATCAAACACGCCAAACGAATGGAAAACAACTGTCATATTTATGGCTTGGTACAGGCATTTTCTTATGTAGAAAATGGGTGGATTAAACCTTGTTTTATAGCTGGCTAAACCTCTTACTTGTAAGACAGACGAATAAAATTCCATTATATTGACACCGATGTGTGAACAAAGCAAACAGACATAATAGGTAAAAATGTCAAAAATAGGGGTACAGCAGTCAATATTGTGTTATAATCTTAATCACTATGAAAACTAACAAATATATCAACATAGAAAAACAAAAAGACAAAGCAAAGTAAAAACGAAAGACAAGAATACAAAAATTTACCATAGCACAATAACACATTGAAGGGATGCATAAGTACCGAGCCACGTCAAATAGATATTGCCAAAAAGAGACTAAACCGTAATAGTAATAATTTACAAAGACAAATAAAAGAATACTATAACACGTTATTAAGATGATAAACAAGTCAGTACCTAGAATCTATACTTCAAGACCATCGTGTATTATTTTGTGAAGTTGATACGGAATATTTATCAACAAGGTCTTGGTATCTTCCAATAAACGTTTTTAGAAAAGGACGAGACGTAAACGATAGATCAAACGAATTTTTACTAACGGAAATTAAAAAAATCCCCTAAATTCTTCAAACAGTTTCATACCATTCGTGTAAAAAATTGAAATTATATTCCTCTTGTATTTACTTCATTATATGGAAAGCGCCTCCATCATAGTTTATATAATCTTGTTTCAATTAGCAATGACCGAAATTTTATTTCTAAACCATCTGTTGTTCATGTTGACCTTGAAGAAACTCAAAATGAGTCTGATATCATTAGGAATTTACCGCTAACTTGAATTGTTATACTTTCATTTGACACAAGCATGATTGCGAAAGATTCAAATATAAGGCCTCTCTATGTTTCTTATGTGAAATGTGTTATCTTCGTCGCTATCGAAAAGAAACAATTATGTATCTTTGTGAATACCTAAAAATGTTAAAAAGAATCCTCTTTTTACAAGCAGGGATATCAAGGATTTAGAAGTACAATGGTAATATGTAGTTACTGGATTTTATCAAATAATTATTTTTGTTTCATTTAAAGAATAATATGTACATTTCGAAATTCTATTCCCCCTTCCAAAAAGAAAATTATGTGGAATATTGGTCAGTGGGGAAGTAAGAAATAATTTGCAAAATAAAGGACAATTTTAAAATGTATATGAATATATGAATTGAATATGCTGTATTTTGTTATCTTTTACTACTAATCATATCTTGTGTTACAAATCTTTAATACTAAAAAGAAGTTAAAGATGCACAATCATCATATTTTTAGAAGTTAAATATCAATACAATGATCGTAATAATTATCTATTTGAAAAAGTAATTTTGTATTACATGTAAATTATTTCAATATGATTACTTATTTTCAATGACTTTCAAGCACAAATATTCTAAGTTTCAAATTAAACTCAATTACATGCAAATTTGTCATTGATTACATTTGTCAATTATCCCATGTCTGATTCAGAATATAAAACAAATATATAATTTCTATGGGGTTTAATAATTTGAAGAAATTGTTATATGTCAGTTTTCGTCATAAGTTGTTATATAAAAACAAATTTCGGTTTTCCAGTTTAAGGTTTATGGTAATATGATAATTTTACGTATTCACTTCATTTAACATTTTCTATGCACGTCAAAAATCATTTCAACTTTTTGACGATGTTAATGTTCTGCCTTGTTCACACGTACATTTAATTCGAATTGAATTCGAATCGAATGAGAATCGAATTCGCTAATTGCGTTTACACACTCTTCTTTTTTTTTTAATTCGGATCGAATTGGAATTGGCTAATTCGTATTATCAAATTCGCATTATAAATGCGTTTTTGTTAATGCGAATTTGTTAATTCGCTTCAATTCGAATTAAACTGTGGTGTGGACACTTTCTAAATTGTAATTCGAATTACCCGAAAAAGTGCTTGAACGGACAAATTAAAGGATTATCATTATTTCTAGATTCTTTAAAATTTAAAACGTAACACTAATATTTTGTGTCCGCTAAAATATCATAGGCGAAAACCATAATGACGTCATTGTGGTCATGACGTCATATTCATACTGAGGTAATATGCGTATATACCGACAAATCCGACATGTGCGACAATAATCTACAAAGGGGTCTTATCAAGTGTTGAGTGAATGATGCTATTGAGGCCGAGTTATCGGGGACTCACAGAAACCAACACCTTTACGAACAAAATTCATATAAAATAAAGGGGCATAAATTGAGCAATATAACAGGAAAAAAGGTAAATCGTAGCCATGTTATTGAAATGAGAAGGAAAATGATTCCGATGAATGCCATATCAAATCAAGAGAGCAAGTTTGGAGATGTTATTGGCTCTTAAATGGTTGTTTTGCTTTAAATTATAATTAGTTAATTGATAATGCGAATTAAAAGTAAACGTCGTTCGGCAAGTTAAGCGAATATAACGCACATTGCAATTCATATTAAAATTTACGTTCGGATGTACAACTCTTCGAAAGCGAATTAAACTAATTCGAATTAGTTAATGCGAATCGAATTCGAGTAACGTGTGAACGCTTCATATTTGCTTCATTAGCATATTCATGTGTTTTATCATTCTTACTATTGTAAATGATAAGGTAACTACAGCTTTTTCGATCCATGTGGATACAAATAAGCTAAAAAAAAAACATGTTTAACCCCGCCGCATTTTTGCGCCTGTCCCAAGTCAGGAGCCTCTGGCCTTTGTTAGTCTTGTATCATTTTTAATTTTAGTTTCTTGTGTATAATTTGGAGTTTAGTATGACGTCCATTATCACTGAACTAGTATACATATTTGTTTAGGGGCCAGCTGAAGGACGCCTCCGGGTGCGGGAGTTTCTCGCTGCATTGAAGACCCATTGGTGGCCTTCGGCTGTTGTCTGCTCTATGGTCAGGTTGTTGTCTCTTTGACACATTCCCCATTTCCATTCTCAATTTTAATTGCAGATGTTTTGTTTTAAAATATTATAATTGTTTCTAAGTTTTAATTCATTCTTTATGTTTACTGAACCTTTTTAAAAAAATTTATTAATACAAGCAGCTAAAATAAACGATGGTTCTCTAAATATTTATTTAAACAAGAACCAATTTGTTTAGTCTAGAACTTATTTGTTAAGTATTGCATATCATTATATCACAGTTTAACTTCTTTGAAGCTTTGTTCTTTTCATTAAAGTATAAACTGAAATTGGCAATTTATCAATCCTCCTTTGTACATTTTACACATTTTGTTGAATTTTTTTGCGGTATATATCATGTATGGAAATTTTGAAAAGCGAAGTGATGCACTGTCTATGCTTCAAACTGTGCAAATAATGTTAGCCTGCATTGTACACAGATTAAGTCATTTTTGATTCGATCAGTTTTTCAACGTTTGTAAACATTCGGATTTTTCAAATATTTTGGCCTCGAGCATCACTTTAGATATATTATTGTCGAGATGCAGATCAGACGCAATAGAATATTACCTTAAATGTTATCTTAAACTTTGATATATATTGTTATCCCTATATAGGTTGTACAATGTAGGTTCCGCAATGTAGAGAATTTCAATACGTACACATGTATATAACTAATACCATTACCTTCATAAACTCTGAGTATGTCAGGAATTTGTCATGTATAATGTATTCGTCAAAATCAATTACAGCAACAAAGGCGTATCCCTGCAGAAGTTGTTCGCATGTAAAGACTGCAAGTTGCTCATCATGAACACTTTGAAACATGTGCCACCGATTTTTCTCAAACCCACGATCTGAATGATATAAAATGGCTTAATATTTGATACAAATGATAAGAATTTTTCACATGTACAAGACTTTTGTGATCTCATATATGATTGCTCATTTGAAAGTTAAGGCTTACCCACCTTACATTTTAAATTCAGGCGTATTATCACGCATGCATTTATGATATCTCTACATATGAAGAACTAAAAATTGTGAATTTTTCCGCTTCAATTTTCTATCCTTTGTGATAATTGGTTTTTGTTAATTCATTTCATTATTTTTATTTTACCTTTTTTTAAACCAATTGTCATACAGGAGTTTTGATTAAAAAAAAACATTCTTGAAAATAAATAAATGTTTATAAATATTCTGTTAAGAAAATTCGAAAAACTAAGCACTAGTAATTAGAATTTAGATGATCGGCCAAATTAATTCCAACCCTATTTGTGTCAAATAGCTTCCCTATCTGTCATTCAAATGAATTTAAGACTTGTAAAGCCCTATTACACTGAATAACTATGAACCGTTAACCAGGTTCACGCTGTTGGCAAGCTTTTAGTTTTGTCATATACCGCCAACACAATCACAACTAAAATTTAAAACAGTAATACATCACAATGAGACATATTAATAAAATATTACTAATTCATTTATACAATTTTTAGGCCTCGACCATCAATGAAGATACATTTATTGTCGAAATGCACATCTTGTATAGAAAACTTAGTACCGTTAATGTTATTTTATGATTTCTAAAATGTTTGAAATATACCTCAATTGAATAAATTACGTTTCATATAATGGTATAATATTTTCAAATATTACGATGATATCTTTGTGGCGTATGATCGCGGAATACCAAAAGGGGAGGGAATGAGCATGCATGTGTAATTTAGTTTTATATTTGCTACAATTGCGTATATTTTTTTTAATTCAAGACTTCATATAGCACCGATCGGAACTGGAATGAACTGTTGTTTAGTGAAAATAGAAATATGTTAAAATAAGGAAATGTTTAAAGTGTTTTACCAATAAAATTCGCAGTGAATCTGCAAACATTACCTGAATAGAATCAAATAATTTTCCCGAATATGAACTACCGAATTAGACTTATTACCGGGTTTGTACTAACATGAGCAACACGACGAGTGCCACATGAGGAGTAGGAACTGCTGACTGTTCCGGAGTACCTGAGATCACCCCCAGATTTTGATGGGGTTCGTGTTGCTTAGTCTTTAGTTTTCTATGTTGTGTTTTGTGTACTTTTGTTTGTCTATTGGGTTTTTCTTTTTTAGCCATGTCGTTGTCACTTTATTTTCGACTTATGAGTTTGAATGTCCATCTGGTATCTTTCACCTCTCTTTTGAGCATTTCGAATCAACTTTTCTTGGAAACGTCAGATTTCAAACCAACAGATTCTTTTAAGCACTCTCTTCGATAACAAAAAAAATCTACATGATCACACAATCTCTGTTCCGGTAACACATTAACAGATAATGAAGACGTTCAAGGACAAATTGACGACTCTTGCACAAAATCATGTATATATATAAGAAATATCTGAGAAAGTTATTAGCTCCAGGTTTACATGTAATAACGCTACAAGACAATGTTTACAAGTGAATTTACTCCTTCTAAACCTCTGCAGCCGACATGATGACAATGGTACATGAATGTCTTATTCGCGGAAAATATATGGCTGGAACAGTGACATAGATTTGAACGGAAAAATCAAACTCATCGCAAATTCTAAGGATTTCCTGAAGATACTTAAATCAATCCAAATATTCTACAAGGAAAACATAGTTTTGAAGAATATTTGTTTTCAGAAATTTTATGAAAACCTGAACATGCTCTCAACAGAACCAATTTATATAAAAAAAAGATGTGTTGATCTATATAGATACCATGCTTTAAATTTTGTACGTCTGACAAAAGTCGTCTGCAAAAGACTTATCAGTGACGCTGAATCAAAAAAGTTCAAAAAGTCAAATAAAGAACGAATGTGAAGAGCCTTGATGACCAACAATTCCAAACGGTTTTGTCAAATACAGCTAAGGTAATATGTTCTTAAAGTTGAACATCCTGAGAATGTCGAAAATTTCAAAGGTTTGCAAACAGTTAATTAATAATCATATCCACATCAATGATAATTCTATTTAGGCACATTAACTTTTAAGTATGATAAAATACATTTCACTCATCATCCGACAGTTATACCGGTCTTTATTTAGTTTCATGTTGTATTGAATCAACACATAATAATTACTGTAAAAATGTTTCCGATTAGATTTTGTATACGTTACAGTCTTTCATTACGTTTTAAATAAATCGAACCATGTACTGTAAAATCTCCATTTCTTATAAGCTGGTTTTATTGGCCTTTTTACTAATAATTACCCAAAATAACTTAAATTAGATGAACAGAAGAATAACTTAAACATAAAAAAATTAACTGACGCATAAATAGTGCGTTCAGCTTGCATTGGACGCAACAGTTACAAATCTTTATCTTGAAAGATAACAATATTTGAATATTCGAATCCCGATCAAAACCGAGGATTATCTCAAGTGCTTCGGATGAGTAAGCAGGTCATATGCTCCAATTGTCTCACCTTTCGTGTTGCTCATGCTCGTGTTACCTCGATCGAATGTTAACATTATACTTGAAGTAGTTTCAGCTAAAGTAGGTAGACATATAAATAAATAAAATGAATTATGTGTAAATATTTACATAGTCCAAAAGGCATTACGTTTTTACTTGACGTTTACAAATCATAAAATAGTGAAATTTTCCTTGTTTTGTGGAATCAAATAACATTTTAAAAGAACATTACCAGTATTTGAACGAAGATAAATAATCAGTTACGTATGCTCACCGTTACTACGACACATACAGTTAAATGAGTCTTCCCGCAGATTGAATGTGTAATGGGAGCGTGGTAAATTAGTTTAACCAAGCCGTTCACTACTTTGAAATGACGCAGTTGAAACAACTTGAACGGGATTGCTATTTTTAGACAAATTAAATCAAATTGTAATAAGTTTGGCATTTTGTGTCAAGTTATTTCTATGATTTCAATCTGGGTTAATACCTCTTTGGCCGTTCAATACAAGTGAAAGTTTTTCAACACACAAAAATATTGTATAAGCCGTATTTGGTACAATGTTTCAGACATTTTGTTTTTTAATGTCCGTCGACTTCGATATTGTTTAGTCTTATAACTGTTTTGATTCGAGCTCAACTGATGAGTGAATCATATGAAGACAAAAAGTGCGTCTAGCTTTTCAAATTTTAGGCTTGATATCTGTGTCTATTTTTTTAAAGCCACTGGGTCGATGAAAATGTTGGTAGACGTTATGCACTTTTGTGATGACATGAATTATCATTTCTCTAATTCTTACTAGATTTATACTTTTCCTGACCTGTTGCTTATTTTTATTTAATCAACGTGTGGTTCGTTTCATCTCAGTTTGCCGTTGGTCAAAATTCGATTATGACGTTTAATTTTCTTCCCTTCCGTTGAAATTCCCTATGTGACCTCATGAGAAAAGGCCACCATGCCTAATGACGTCACATAGAAAGAACACATTTTTTTGCAGATCATTCGAAAAGAAGGATTCTGATTGTCTGCATATCGTCTAAATATCATTAGGAGAAACAGATTCCACCACCAAATCTCGTACAATACGATATGAATCCACTGTCGACAGTTAAATTTTAAATATCTAAAACGCTAGGCGAGCCTCGCGTTGCTGATTTTTATCTCAACCTTAAATATATCCAAATGAACCTTGAATGCTTTTTAAACTTAAGAGCACTTTTCCTTTTTGATATACACTGAGTTAAGTTTTATGAAAATAATATAAAATTCAATAGAAATAGCATACTTTTTTCTGACAAACTCACCAATGCATCCAGGTAAAACATCGGGGAATGAAAGCAACAGAACAATTCCTTCCATTTCGTAGTGCTTAAAAACTGCGTAAGCATCGGAATTAAGGGTCTGTAACATGATTAACACTGTTTCAACACCCATTAGTTTCTGATATTCAAACCACTCTATAAGGTGTATTGGATTTAGATAATTAAAAGCAACTTTTGTACATATCGCTGTTGAATTTGCCTTCATTTCTGGGTAGACAACAGTCTTCATTTGTTCACTAGGCGTGCAAATTGCATGCCTATCCACTAATACTATGTTAAATGGTTTGAAACTGATATCCTGGCAGCTGCAGTAGTACTGTGTGGCAAACATTCTGACATTCCTCTTATCAACTGTGTATTTTTGTTTGATGTGGGCCATTGTCCTATAGGCGTTCTCATGTTTTTGTCCATAAATACAGCAGTCAAAAATGATACCAACAGATCGGTCAAGTACGTTAAGTACTATATACTCAACAATATTCCATTCTAATTTTGGCTGAGCTACTGCCGACAGTATATAAATTGGATCATCATCACAACTTTGCCAGATCGAAACACTCTACAAAATAAACCAATAATTAACCACTGGACATTTTGACAACATTTAATCCATTATTGCTTCTTTTATGAATAAACATAATATGTTTTGATGATTTCTTTGCATTTTGATCACAGATTCAAGTGAAGGATCGTTATTTTTATTTTTCATCATACATATATATTTCCGGTAATTCGACATACGGGATCACTAACGAAACTATTTATAAAGTATAGTTGACCGAGTACGATAGATAACACACAACTCACAACTATGCATTCATTCTTTCTGCACCCTTAATTATATATGTACTACGTAAGAAACAGACAACAAATATGTTAGAATAATGCGATATGATGTCGATAAAAGGTAGATATGAAGTGAAAGCCCTATTCAGCCGTTTTTTCTTGACTTTAAAATGAGAATATACACAACAGAATAACTAGTGGTAGAGAAGTGTGTATTAAAAACTAATCGTGGCTGTACAATAAGTCGCATTGCCATCATAAACGGCATATTAAAGATAGATGACACGCTTTCCTGGATCTCGATATCTAGATCTTTAACGGGAAGCTCATACCAAAATTTACGATAAAAGAGATTTTGTTCCTTTCCTATTGTTAAATATTCATCCTTGTTCGATTCACTCGTGTTTGTAAAAACGTTAAAATATATAAATATTTATTTAACGAAAGGAATCTCTGTATAACTGAAAAATTACACCAGAGTTTTCGATTTCACAAACTTGTCAAAACATTTACTAAATTTTATCATCGGTACATGGACATCGTTTGTAAATATAACTCATCGTGCAGACATCTTATACGTTCAGGTATTTCACATCCCGTCTTTATGGTAATATTCTATACAAAGCACAAAAAAGTCGTCATTCACCTGAAAGGCTAACCAAACCGTTAAACAGACTTATTCAGAGGGGATAAAGTTACTGTTGCCAGGTCATTAAAGATGGCATTTTTTGGAATTAATATTGATTAACTCATATGGTCCTTGCATCGGAAATAAACACAGGTATTCTAATACCAGTTGTTGCCAGGATACGGGTTATGTTCTTCCTCTTCATCCTCTCTTCATGACAAAGTTGTTGTTTCAGCAGAAAACAGTATTGTTTAGTACGCAATAATAAATATTTAGGTTGCCAATCATATGAAATTCAAATTCAGAAAAATTCTGGGAATCCCACTGATACACCAATATCATTCACAGGCATAGCATGATTGCAATAATTGATTTATCTACACTACTTATATCAATGCTCAATGAAATATTGACTTTGATATTTCATTAAACAGTGCTTCTCAACATGGATGAGGTTGGTAGATACACTTTCTTGATTTGGGTCATCAAAAACTAACTTTGTAAATAACCATACTGATTTCAACAACAAATACACCGAAGATAATATTATATATACTGGACACGTCGGTTTGGAAAATTGATGTATTAATAAACAGTCAGTAATCCAGTGTGTTTTAATTGCATCCGTACTAAATGGCTTGCTTTTATACTCAATTAAAGCAGAATTGTAAAAATTAAGAAGACTAATGAAGTATCATCTTGCCAATTTTCATTATTTGACTTTCATATCATTAATGATATCTGATCACTCAGTAATCAACATGTCAGTGAGTGCTCACATCTTATTTTTCCAGTGAAAATCAAAAGTTCCGAAACCTGAAGGTCTGCTTCAAGCCATGATCTTTTACTTGCAATGGACACATATAGACAACTTCAATCTATGATTTAATAAAATTCGGCGTAAATTATCAGCCTACTCTTCCGGAGCACCTGATTTCACTCTCGATTTTAATGATAATTCGCAGTGTTCGTGCTTTTGTTTTTGATGTTTGTGTTTTGTGTTTGTTTCCGCTCCTTATTTTCTTGTCCTCGTCTTTGGGTCTTTTCCATTGATTCTTTGGTATGCTTTTGCTTTTCTTTTTTATTTTTTTTTATTCCTATGACAGTCTTTAAATTTATTTTTTATATAATCTACACTTTTTTTCAGCGAAATTCTAGCGACTAACTGTGCTGTTGTAGCAAACAATCTTTCGTTAGATATGGACACTAAAAAAAGAATATATCATACGTTTTTAATAACTATCGGAATCATTTTCAATTAAATTTATAAAGAATACCTGTACGGTTAAATAAAGTGAAATTTCTTGAGAAAACCACTGGTTAAAGGCAAATAATTGGTTAAATATGTAATGAATGGTCTTCCATCTGTCATAGATTTGGAAACAAGAAAAACCGCCAAAGATTATGAGACTTAAATTTGCCATAAATTAGGTTTCTAAAAATTCCGCCATTAAATTGGGATGACATGACGTCGTAGTTACTACAGATTTGGTATCTGCCATAGATCTGGAACCCACCATGGATGTGAGTCCTACATATGGACACATATAAACATATATGTCGCCTCGTCAGCATACCAAAAAGATCAAGATTGTTTTGGGTCATGGACTTCCATAGTTTCCTGTTTATAATCTGTAAATCCCAAAATAGGGAATTTAGAAAAATTCACGATGTTATTCCCTTTACATGTAAACGTTTTATAGTGGTATGCAGTAAATAGTAAATTTATCAGCAACAAAACACCATGTGCCGTGTTACAACCCTAGATAAAGTCGACACTACTCGACTTATAGTACCATGTGCAGGGGGTTATGCAATAGTATCGCAAAAACAAGGGTTCGATTTCCACTGAGTGAAAAGCAATAATTCGCCAGCTGCAAACATTGGACGTTTATGAACTTTCCTTGTTTAATAGTATTAAATAAGAGATAACGTTCGATACATATTTCTACTATCTGGAAATAAAATGATGTAAATAGTACTATTGAAATTGGTACCTCTGTGTCTATATGAGGACAAGTCAGCAAAACCCAGAGAAAAATTCCTATCATACATATCAGTATCTTGTAAACTATGTCTTTTTTCATATTTATTTCAAATTAATGATTTTTCAAATAACTTTATACATCCATGTGAAAAATCATTCTAGCGGTAAAATGTATGGCCATACACTTTTTATCCACATAGTTGATCATCTGTACAATAATATGTTATATCGAGTTTTTTGTAAAATTATAATGGTTCCAAGTGGCACAAATAAACAATGGACTCTGTCTAAAATTCGTAGTGATTTTATTTACGATGCATGTAATTAAACTCTATATCATATAACAATAACATAACACACTACATAGTCATCACATGACAAAATGAGACATAACTATAGACAAAAAGGAAAATTAATCAATTATCATTCCAATATATATCTATGATATATGATTCCTCCGTCACATTTAAATACACACATCTAAAGTCTCATGATGAAATGCTATAGGGAAAAAAACATGTTCGTACACGCACTCAAAGCTATTATCACCACCAATCTCAATGACAGCGTTTCGACAAAGTTATAAATTTGTAATACTATGAAGTTTTAATCAAAATTTCATATTTAAAATAATCAGTTACAAATGAGACAAGACAATAACAAACTTTACGCATATAACACATTCCTTAACATATATTTGTTGTATAAACAGGTAGGTCAATCATGGAATCATCTGTAGTTACAATCACTACAAACCAGTAAAAGTCTGAAATGGCCTATATTTGTACTCGACTGTACTGATTTTTACTCGACCAGTCTGAATTGGTCTGAAATTAACTTGATACTACTCGACTGTAGTCTGAACCATACTTAACAGTCTGAACTTGTACTCGACCTGTACTTAACCATTTTATTTTCGTCTGAACCATGCTCGACCTAGTCTGAACCATACTCGACCTAGTCTGAACCATACTCGACCTAGTCTGAACCATACTCGACCAAGTCTTAACCAACCTAGACCTAATTTTTGTATCTATCTATCTATTGTATTTCATCAATTTAGGAACTGTTTTAACAGCTATAACCCCTGGCTAGAAATTTGAACAACAATTTGAAATTAAAAATGTATTCAATATGGCATTGAAACCAAAATTTCACAATAAACATAGTATAAATTCAACACCATGTTTATCAACACTTACATATATATATATATCACCTTTAAAATAAAAATAAAACAAACTGATCAAATAATCTCAAAACTGAATTGAGACTAATATTTTCAATGTTATTCAAATTTTTTTTAATGTTTCAGATATATTTTAAGGTTACTGGACAATTTTCACCGTTTACTTAAGCCTTGTATAGATTTATGGTGTCAGTTGAGTTTAGTTAATAATGCAGTGAACATTTTTTTTTATCAAAATATATTTAAAATAGTATATAAAGCAACTTAATAAATTTTAAAAATTACACCTTTGTTTTGTAAAACCAAGAATTTAATATAATCATGATAATAGAACTTCCATAGCAATCCTTGATAACCATTTAAAAAAGGAAATTTGTTCCAAAGTTGCAGAAAAAATTTATTTCAATTAAATTTAAATAACTTTTGACAAAATTAAAGACATGGCATACAAGAAGCACTTCAATAAGGTTTATTTACCTCAGTACATGTGTGTTTTACAGGTAAAAAGAAAGCCCTTTTTTCTTAAACTCGTGTATTACTTATCTAGTGAATTCAAAAGGCCTTGCGATTTAAGTTTTACAGGATGTTGCAATTTTTAATGAATGTTAATTAGAAATTAATACTCTCTGACCAGGTGTGATCTTTTTAATGAGTTTGCCCCAAGCAGGAGGTATTACTTTATACTTTACCACTAATCAGAAGAAAAATTTTATCTATTTCTTTAATTTTTTTATCCCCTTTTGATATATATTATATATAATATATCCCAAATTATAATAAAAATAGATATATTTCTAATATAAGGTTAAACAATTTCAGTGATTTTTTGGCTGTTGTTACCTCATTAAAAAGATAATTATATAACTATTGTATGTAACCATGAAAACTATATAGTTTTTCTTTAGGAATTTAGGAAAATTAATTTAAAAAGCACCTTAATAAGGTTTTATTACCCTCAGTAAAGGTGTGGTTTTTAGTTAAAAGAAAATCTTTTTTTAACAAAACTCTAAAACTTTAAAATTAATATAATTAAATTATTATATAAAAAAAAGTTAATTTAACTATCTCTGTTTGATAAATCTGAGAATCATGTAAGGATGTAAAAATATATTTTTATATATATCTTTATTTTATTGTGGCTGTTGTCATGTCAGAAAAAAAGAAATTAATTTTAACAACTAAAATTAAAACAAAATATAGGTTTTTTGGTCAAGTATGGTTCAGACTGGTCGAGTATTGTTCAGACCTTTGGTCGAGTATGGTTTAGACTGAAAAAATTGGTCAAGTACAGGTCGAGAATGGGTTAAGACTGTTTCAGACTGGTCGAGTAATAGTTCAGACTATTTTCAATGGCAACGATAAGGGTAAAGTACAAATCAGTACGGTCGAGTATGGTTAAGACTGGGGTCGAGTAATGTCGAGTAAAATTCAGACCAATTCAGACTGGTCGAGTAAAAATCAGTACAGTCGAGTACAGGTATAGGCCATTTCAGACTTTTACTGGTTTGTAGTGAATATACACAATAAACACGAATTAAGTTTAAGTCTGGTATTCTATAAAACGGATCCTCGTCTGTTTCCTTTTTGGATTGTAAAACGACTTTCCCCAGCAAATGTTGGTGAGCAAAACTGTTATATCAATTCATTGACCAAACTATGTGGAATTTTGTACGTTTTGCACACCTATAAAAATTCAAATGTGAGTACTAAATTGTTTATAAATCCTGTGATAAGTGTATGTAGGAGAATGATAATCATTTTCTTCATGAGTAAGTACGAGCATTAGCATCTTATTTGTCCCTTCTTAGTTTGTCAAGTGTTCATAGTCAATGCATGTTGTTTTTTTTTTTTTTTCATTCTAGACATTTCTTTTATGGATTATTCTCAGTGATGTAAGGTATTTCTTATAATTTGGAAAAATAAAAAAATGTGTTTTTTTACATAAGTTGACATAACAGTACGATAAAATTGTTGGTATGCATGTAAATTGTGTAATATTTTTGCGAGGAATTATGTTTTGATTATTTACAGTTTGGACAGATTAAGTTCCCTGTCAAATACGAGGAGTAGAGAGACTGTCCAGTTCCTTCATGTCTTGTGCAAGGTAAGTGTATTAAAATGGATTAGGTTGTAGAATTCCTTTTACCGGTTACATATAAGACTTTTCAAAATCAAACCCTGGTTGAAGGTTGGATTCTGACTGCTGTAGCTGTGTCTTCTTTCTGAATATACATATATTTGTATTAAGGTTGTCTGTATTACAAACAGCAGACTCTTTAAAAAAACTACATTACAGGTTTAATTTAGTTAAATAGTGAGAAAAAAACCGTTAATCTTATTCTAATATATAAGCTATTTTTGAACCAGAAATTTAGAGGTGTATATTTCGATGATTCATTAATGACAAAACAATTTATATCTATAGGAGATACTGCTGATAAAATTAAAACGACCAATAGCGATGGACTTGGATGCTGCATACAGATAAATAGTTGTGACATTTTTTGTTAATAATGAAAACCTTCATTTGGAGTTATCAGGAACATAAAATGAGGAGTGAATTGATCAAATGGATCTTATAAGTTTTATATGTGTGTATGAAGTCTCATTCGGGTAAGCCACATGTTGATGACTTCCTTAAACTTTGAAATACGGCTTCAACTTTACTTTTAAAACACCTGGTTCAATAGCTATGTCGAAAGCAGCAAACAGCCTATCAAAGAATTAATGGTTGTAATCGAAAACTCAAATGTCTAATAAAATTGGATATATTTAACCCTAAGCGTGGTGCTGCTTGAATATTGAAACACTGAAACAAAACAAAAATCTTTTTTATCATTAAGTTTGATACGTTTGATGTATACCACCGACAATAAAAGTCCTTACAAGACAAAATATAATATATAGATTAAGATAGCCACCGCCGAGTATCGAGTACAAATACATTTTATATTTCCGAAAATGAACATATATTGTTATTGTCCTGCAATTTACACCCGGCACTTCAAGCTTTATTGTTTAAATCAAAATCAATCAATTTTTCTCTGATTTTCAAAGAAATCGTCATAGTTTAAACGCGGACCGCGGAGAGGACCCCCACATGAACTGTAACGCAATAATAAATATCCACATAGACATCAATGTGGAAGTGGAGTTACAGGATACTTTATTTACTCAAGTACAAATAAAGCAAAAACTTATTTGTATAACTGTTATTTGTACAATAGTTGGCTGATAGTAGGATACATAAAAGAAGAAAACCATTACCGATAGTTCATCAAGTCACCTAATGAATCAAACTTGAACTATTCAATTTTCGAATGACTTCATTTTCTAAGTAGGTGATTCGTGTTTGAGAATAGTAGCTATAGTCTAAAATATTTCTATTGATTCTTTGTAAATGTTCCGTTGCATACATGTATATGAAATGTAAGGAACAATAACGCTATATTTCTATGTAACAAATAACGGCAACAGTAGTATCACGGTAAGTACAGTGTCCGGCGTAGATCATGTTTTTTTTCGGGTGAATCGGTCCACTTTTTTCGAGTGTAGATCTGGGTTTTTAAACAAATAGTCCGGTTTTTTTTTAAGAAAATGTGAATAAGAAATAAGGCATTCTTGACCTTAAAACCTGACATATTTAAGTAAATAACTTTAATTAAGTGAGGGACAATATTATATTTTCCCAATAATTCACAAAGAACATATTACAATGTTGATAAATGTTAACCTTTCTCAATTTAATGATAACTTTCTGTTCTGAAATATTTTTACCATAACCTAGCAGTATTACGATAAATAAGAAACCAATGGGTCCGTTTTAAAACGGTCTCAAGAATCGAGTACAGGGATTCATATCTTTTTTAATTTGTTGCATGTTACCTTTGTTTTTACAGTCAGTAACATTTTATAATTGATATATATGACAGTGACGAAAAAACAAAGGAGCAAGAAAACTAAGAAATGAGTAAACAATCAGAAAAATTCAATATAAACCAAAATATTCTACTAAAACAGGAACACCCGCCATATAAATATTAATGAATTACAATAACATTTGAATTGAATGGAATATCTAATAAAAAATGAAAACAACACATTATAATTTTATGCAATATGACCAAAAGGACTTAAAATATAGACAAATCCATCTAAGGGTAACTTTGCCCGATGGAGTTGAAATCTTAGCCTCTTTATGATTTTAAATTTATTAACGGACAATTCTAAATGAATCATTGTTGGTTGTTTTACGTTCAGTGGCAAATGTGTCGTGCATATTCAGGACTAGAACAAATAAAAGATAAATCGAATAAGTATGTCCTGTAATAGAGGACGTTCGGGATAAAGGTCGGGAAATTAAGACTGCCACTGAAAGTATGTTGAATATTGACAGAAATGTTGCTTTGCAACAGGCCACCTACGGACCCTTCAAAGAGCTGTTGCAAGGGTTCTCAACGTGGGATGAGCGTAGCACTCTTTCTACACGCCCCATTCTGACCGGACGTGGTTGCGTACTTGAACATGCCAAATAGGCAAACGGACGTCCCATTTTGGCAAAGGTCGGTCGGAAGAAGACTTAAATGACCATATTTCTATTCGGAGGGAAATAATTTTAGAAAGGTTTGTTATAAATCATGTCGATACCGAAGTATTGATTACTGAGCTGATGATAAACTTGGGGACTTGTGCGATGTATTCAATAAACTACGAAATAAATAATCTGTAAGCTTCAATACATTCCTTTTGAATATATAATAATAATAAAAAAGAATAAATGTGTATATAATATGTGTTCACCTCACAAATATACATTGTCAATTTTTTACCTATGCTGGTGCTTTATTACTGTGTGACCAAGCATAACATACTCTTGATCAGACTCCTCTTGACAGTAGGAGCAATTGAACATTGTTCTCTATTTCCATTTCTAGAACGATAAAACATTATTTCTTATGAAGCAAGAATCTTGCAATCTGATTGGTTAATTACCCAGGTGTAAAAAACGACCCACCCTAATTCACCAGGGGATAAAAAAATATGCCAAAATTTCCACACAAAAAAATGTTTGCCAAAATTATGACAAATAAGGTTTTAGAAAAAAAAAAAAAAATAGATTAAAAAAAAAAGATAAAATGAAATTTTTGTCAAAAAAAAAAACCACAAAAAATTAAAGTGAAGAAAAAATATTCTCCAATATTCCCCAAATAATCAAATTTTCAAATTTTCCACAAATAAAATAAGTTAAACACTGCAAATTGTTAAGCACAAATTTTACTTATTTTTTTTTTTTTAGCATCGTTTTATAATTTTTAAAATATCTTACCATAGCTAATGTCTGTCTTACGTATACTAAAAAGATAGATAATGACATGCTGTAAATATATCCCCTCACCACCTTTTCCTTTATATTAATGCTAATTTTAATATTTTAAAGATAAGGTTTTTTAGATTTTACTACCGTGTGACACGGGTGCTCCGAACTGGTTTAATGAATTGTTTCGTGCTTTGAAAAGTACTTTATTTAAAGCTTTTCAATGTTTTTTAAATGTAAATGCACTGACATATTCAATTTTAAGCCATAGGAATTTTGTTTTTTCTCTCGATAAAACAAGGACACACTGGAAAAAACACAGACTGCTCTCGAAAAAACACGGACTTACAAAAATGAATTCACTCTCCAAAATGCCCTTTTCAATGCAAAAACAAGAATTTTTGTAAAGTGTCTGTAAATCTAAGTATACATATATTCCATATGCACATTTCATTTGAAATTTGCATTGGTATATGTATAAGAATGGTTTTATTCTATTTTTTGGAATAAAGCATTGTAAGGCAATATTAAACTCTTTTTTTTTAGGACCAAATAATTGAGGGTTGATAACATCTTTTTATCAAAACTACTTATTTACCTTCCTTGATCTTGTATATAAGGTCCTAGTATCTTTTTTTCACGTTTTACCAGAAAGGAAGTCTGTTTGTTTACATGTTTGATCATATTCAATCCAATAAAGTAGTCACACTTGAAAAAACCCGATCAAATTACTCGATGAGCCCCGATCCAAGCCTTACACTATACCTACCGTGAGTATTCCGCTGGTCAAAAATCGATTAAGCGAAAACAAATCCGGGTCACAAACCAAAACCGAGGGAAACACATCAACTGTATAAGGAAAACAACGGAACAACAGAAACACTGTACTGCAACAAAAACAAACGCCAACATACATAGAAACGGACTATTTGATAACACCTGCCATATTTCTGACTTGGTACAGGACATTTTAAGAAAAAATGATGGGTTGAACCTGGTGTTATTGCTAGCCAAACCTTCGGCTTATATGACAATGTAGAAACAACATAACAACATTACATGACAGGAATACATAACAAATAAACGTAAGAACACTTAGGACGAGAAATACAAAAATGAATAATATAATAGATATAAGAAGATGTGGTATGAGTGCCAATGAGACAACTCTCCATCCAAGTCAAAATTTATAAAAGTAAACCATTATAGGTCACAGTACGGTCTTCAACACGGAGCCTTGGCTCACACCGAACAGTAAGCTATAAAGGGCCCCCAAAATTACTAGTGTAAAACCATTCAAACGGGAAAACCAACGGTCTAATCTATATAAAAAACGAGAAACGAGAAACACTTATGAACCACATCAACAAACGACAACTACTGAACATCAGATTCCTGACTTAGGACAGGTGCAAACAAATGCAGCGGGTTTAAACGTTTTAATGGTACCAAACCTTCACCCTTTTTCTGAAACAATAGTGTAACATCACAACATAGAAAGACACACTATAAAATATCAACTGAAATAGCTTAACTCAATCAAAGGACATATTAACACCATTGAACATACACTGAACAAATAAATTTGACCTATGATACAATGTAAATACAAAATAAATAAACTAAGGGAAGAATAATAAAAGTAACATGTTATATCGGTATGAAATGTTAAACAATTAAAGAAAAACAATCTGCTCGAACAAAAATATCAGCCGTTTGCAATAACTTTAAACACAGGTAAATGAAAATAATTTTGTTGTTAGGTATACGTATGCAGTTCCAATAGAGAA